GCACATAATAACTAGAGCTGTCAGCCGATTAATTTTCTTAATCACGATTAATCACATAAACTGAGTGATTAATCACATGATTAGTGAACTTATTGTACTTATTAATATCAATGTGAATAATAATTCAATTACATTATAATATGTTGAAAATGCATTATGATTATGTTCACCTACAGGGAAAAAAATGCTGCTGATCAGATACATTAATACATTATCGAACAAATAAGGCAGCAGTTTACAGTTGTTAAAATGATTGTTCAAGTACAAAAACATTAAAAAGGATAATAGGGTGGATTTTCCCTGCCAGACAGTCTATAACAAGCTTGACTTTGTGTATGCATTACATAAATAAATACCAAAATTTAACAACACAAAATTACTATAAGTATATAAGTACTATAACGATCCATTTAAGACAAAGAAGAGAATAGGCTGAGCAATTTACAGTACAAAGTAAAAATAGTGAAAAACCAGGGGAAATAAACTATTAATAGAGGTTACATTACATTGATAGTGACAGTCACAACTGCATTCCGTCGCTACTTTTATATCAAAAAGTTGACCAATAAGTACAGTTCAGTTTTAAATGCAGTCAGGCAGCATTTTCAAGTTTTCATTTGTGGATAAAAATACATGGCCTGAATAATTGTTAATGACACTTCGTAATTATTTCATGGATTTTAAGCCAAAATTTCTGTATAATTTGCATTTAAAAAAATGAATTAAAGAAACGGCAGAAGAGACAAGAATGTTTCTGTGTATGTATGTCTTTAATGTACTTCTGCACAGCTTTAAAGATAAAATTTGAAGACTTCGATGTCAGTTTTACATACTCGATCGCTATTCCCGACAGTGGAGTCAAATTCACCATTTAAAAGACACATTTATTATATGTCATGTATTGAGTGATAAAAAGCAAAGGACTTCATTGTGGCATTGAGTGATTTGTCATTTTCTTAGTTTTCTGACTTCATAAAGCTTTGTAAACGGCTAAGTAATGTGTTCGCACACATGTATTGCTCAGAAATATACAGAAGTAACTACGGTAAGCCCAACAGCCCAAAAAAATGAGAGGAGCAGATGAACAATGTGATAAAGGAGAATCAAACGCATTATCTTGACCCCAAATTGGGCTGTACAGTAGGCTGTGGGAGTGAAAAATCTTCACTTACTGTATGATTTCCAGTTTGAATGGATAACTAACTAAATCTGTTTAAGGGAAAAATGAATGACTATGTTTCTGCAGAACAATACCCAGCTGGTACTTAATATAGGCGCGAAACCCCAAACACTACTGAAGCCAGTGTTTCAGTTTCATTATCCAACCCCAGTAGATTCAAAGTCATAAGCGAATGCTCTTCTGTCTGCAGGCAGTTTGTCAAAACGAAGTGACATCCGCAAATTTGGTTGCTCCTGCCGATCACTCTGCATATGAATAACTATCACTAGAATGCAGGTAGTAAAATCTGCTGACACACGTATTCATTCTCTTACTCCATTGTTCTTGTTGTTACTCTGCTCCTGCCATTCTTTCCATCTGGTTAAATGAACCACCACCGGTATTGTCCTCCCGGTTACAGGCTTGATTTGTGATTTGAGTGCGTTTGTGATTTGAGGAATATTAAAGCTGAATAATTGGTGAGTGTTTTGCGTTTGGCAGCTCGCTCTTCACAGTGCCGCAATTAGTGGTGGGCGGATCGATCAAAGTATCGATAATATCGATAATAATGTTGGTATTGATCGATACCAGTTTAATGAGATCGATACTTCAGTTTCAATCTCTCTCCCGAATGCACTGCGGCTCTGTGTTCGCGCTGCTGCTCTCAAATGCCGTTCCCGGCTGTCACATGACTCAGCGGCGCCAGGCTAACAAACAGACGCGTGCACATGTGATCAACTGTTTCTGGTTGTTGTCATTAGTCCTCTGTATTAAGTCCGCGTTTCAGTTTGTTTCCCCAGTCCGGTCATTGGGTGCGTTCGACTTGCTTAAAGCCATTCTGATCCTGACGCAATGCATTACGGTTAGATGCACTGCGACCTCTCACCCGGCTGCACAAAATGGAACCGCCAAATGACGACACACGCATGACGTTTATATCCCAGGCAGTTCTGATGCGTAATCTGCTATTTCTCCCGAATATCACGTAAAGCAGTGAGAACTGGTTTTCAGTTAATATACCTGATAAAATAAAGTTTAAATAAATGACATAAATGCTCTAATAGTACACGTAAGTTAGTGGTTTATTTATTGTTAGTTACTGTAATGTTGCGCTGCTTTATTTGGTTAATCGTCCAGTCTGTGAAGAAGTCATTCAAGTAAGAATTGCATTGTAGTATGATTCATTTCCTAATTTATATTAAGTAATTAAGAAGTATCGATATCGGTATCGTATCGGCGATACTTTCCCTGTATTTACTTGGTATCGCATCGATACCAAATCTTGTAGTATCGCACACCACTAGCCGCAATACCTGAGATGTCACAGGCGTAGCTGGCATATCTCAGTAAGAATATTGCTCAATAAACAAAATACATGTATTTTTGGCATTTAAATAAAATTAATTTAAGCTTAATGTATTGTGATATTTGTGTTGAAGTTCCATTGTTGTAGATCAATTTAAATGGCATGTAGTCAAGTGATTTTAAACGAAGTAATTGTGATTTGTCTCAGTATTATGTTAATACTTAGGTTCGTTAGACGATATTTGCTATAATTGTTGCATGTACAGTAACTACCCTTACTCAGTTATTTAAGTCAGGGTAAAAAATGCAAATCTGAAAAAAATCTGTTACATTCAAGTTGACCACTTCTGGGATAAGCAGGTTTTTGTAATCTTAGCTCAGTATGAACTCAAGACTGTATTGAAGTGACAAAAGTGCAGGATTGTACAAAAAGCCATATGTTTAAAGATATAAGTTTTGTTTCTCCACAAACTGAAAACCATGGAGCCTACAAACCTGTTTTGTTTCTTTGGCACAAAATCAGTAGCTTATGATAAAGCTATTTAAGTTTCATGTAGATGAATGCTGATAATTGTTCAGTTTGCCTTTCCATTGCCAAATGATGAAATGCATTCCTTTTAGAACAAAAGGGCCCGGAGAGTAGGGTGACCAGATAATCCATGTCAGGGAGGACACTCTGAGCTAGGACAGGAATTGTAAATTACCATTTCAATTAAACGGACCTGGATTTGAATTGAGCACTGAGTTCTTGCTGTGTGCTGATTGGTCAGTCTCCTATAATCATGCATCTGTCACTAATACTAATGTGAAACAGCTGGATGAGTCTTTCAGTCAAGGAAACAAACTAGTCAAAGCACAAGAAGAGCTGAACTATTTAGCCGAGCACAGAAGCCTTTCAATTTGAAAGTAGTTTGTAAAACCCGAAGTAGCTCAAAGTGTCCTCCCTGACATGGATTATCTGGTCACCCTAGTTTAAGGGCAAAATAAATGACTATGTTTCTGTAGAACAATACACTGCTACTTAACCGGTTCATTGTGTTTAGGGTAAGAGTAAAAGGAGACACAAAGGCCAATGGCTGTCTCTACCCCATGGTCTGCTTATTTGTCTTGAGATTCTGTTTGATTTGGGGATCATATTAGTATTTGTAGTATTTATATGCTCTGCTACTTTTTAATCTCTGTCATTGAGGGCAGCGCGGTAAGGAACATATCAGTTACCAAATAATCATTCTCGATGATGAAATTTTTCAGTTTTTCCAATTGCTAGCAGCATGGGGCTCAATACTCATAGTTTTTGCTATAATTTCTGTTTTATGTAGCACAATCTATAAGATTAGCAGTATTATTTATCTATTTGTTTGTTTGTTTTTGCAGATGATACTGTGCTTTCAGTCTGGCATCAGTCCCGCCTCAATCTCAGTTCAAATATTTCCCCATTGCTTTTACCTAAATACTCTTATCATAGTTCTTTATTTATTTATTTATCTTATCATAGTTCTTACTGTTCAGTCATGGGATCTGTTTCAAGACCAGAAACAGTTGGCCAGTTTTCTGTGGATTATGCAAATCGCTCTGCAAATCTGGGGAGATTTTGTTTATTTTGACAGTCTAAGTGTCCATAATAAATTTGCCTACCATTTAAAAACTATTTGTATATATTTAAATATTTATATCACAAGCACTAAGTTGAAAGAAAATGGCCTTGTGATTCTTTCCTTGGTTCCTTACAGAAAAATGTATCTAATAATGATAGTATTTCTCAAAGAAATCATTGAAATCTTCATTGTGTGTTGTGGCCTGCTTAGCTAAATAGTGCTAACTGGGACATTCTTTGCTCAGTTGTTACATAATAGCTTCTTGACAGGCTTTTTAGTGAAGACATCGTGTATTTAAGTAATATACAGAAACTCCGTATAAGCGTTCATGCACTCAGCCTCCACATGCACCTGCCTTGGGACACTGCTTCACATTTTTTTGTACTTCTCTGTGATGTTTGACTGCTGCTGGATGTGAATTTAATTATTTAAGCTAATTTTTGATCTCAATTAAAGATGAAACGGAGTTGAAAAAAAAAGACTAATTATCCATCTCAGTACAGGTTGTAGTAAGCCTAGAACGCAGGCTATACAGGGCACACAAATGGACAGCTATACACCAGGGGCAGTCTGGGAAAATATGGAAACGCTGCACGTACCGAGATGAGGGTGGTATTTAAACCTTCTGCACTGGAAGTCTGAGGCTACAGTGAAACTCATTGAATGGAATGACTTTGCTACCTATAAGCTTAATTATATAAAGTGTATGTAACTAGTGTTTGCTTTCATGTAATGTAATATTTATGGAATGTTTAATGGTCCAGATGGCCTTGTGAAATCTTTTCTAGTTGGGGGATTCAAGGCATATTTATAGGAAATAGCTGTTTCAGTACCTGATTTCATATTATAATTCAATAAAAATGTTTTAGTTCATCAACGAGGATCAATAAAACCTACGTTAAATGTACTGATATTTTTTTTTCTGCTTGCATTTTTCGCAGGTTTTGTGTGTGGAACCAAAGAGCTGTTCAGTGCTGGCTCCGAGAGTGACTATTAGAGAGGTAAGGACTCGAAAGAAGGAGGGTGCATGGAGCAATCAAGGCTGGTTAAACCAAGGACATCCACCATCCTCTGGTTGGGCCTTGTTACTGCAGCAGCAACGTTGCTATGCGCAGAGGCCCGAACCACCCCAAGCCCAACAGCAAACAATGCCACGTGTGAAGGGACATCCGACTGCAAACCGGGCATTATTCTGCCGATCTGGTACCCCGAGGACCCGTCGATGGGCGATAAGATTGCGCGGGTGATTGTATACTTTGTCGCAATGATTTACATGTTTCTTGGCGTGTCCATTATTGCTGATCGCTTCATGGCAGCCATTGAGGTCATAACCTCCCAAGAGAAAGAGGTCATCATCAAAAGATCCAATGGAGAAACCACCACCACCACCATTCGAGTGTGGAATGAAACCGTTTCCAACCTGACCTTGATGGCACTGGGTTCATCAGCCCCAGAGATCCTGCTTTCAGTCATTGAGGTCTGTGGTCACAGCTTCCAAGCTGGGGAGCTGGGTCCCTCCACTATCGTAGGCAGTGCAGCTTTCAACATGTTTGTCATTATTGGGCTCTGTGTGTCAGTTATCCCTGACGGAGAGACACGGAAGGTCAAGCACTTGCGTGTCTTCTTCGTTACAGCAGCCTGGAGTATCTTTGCCTATATTTGGCTTTATATGATTCTGGCTGTTTTCTCTCCCAATGTGGTCCAGATCTGGGAGGGCCTCCTCACTCTTGCGTTCTTTCCAATTTGTGTCATCCTGGCCTGGGTGGCCGATCGTCGTTTGTTATTCTATAAGTTCATGCATAAAAAGTACCGAACAGATAAGCATAGAGGAGTTATCATTGAGACTGAGGGAGAACGATCCAAAGGTATTGAGATGGATGGAAAAATGGTAAACTCACATTTTGTTGACGGTGCTTCTAGTAACCTGATTGGACTGATAGATGTGAAAGAGATTGATGAGTCCCGGCGAGACATGATCCGCATTTTAAAGGATCTGAAGCAGAAGCATCCTGAAAAGGACATGGACCAGTTGGTGGAAATGGCCAACTACTATGCCCTTTCTCATCAGCAAAAGAGTCGCGCTTTCTACCGCATTCAGGCCACGCGGCTAATGACTGGAGCAGGAAACATACTAAAGAAACATGTAGCTGAGCAGGCTAAGAGGAGCACCAGTCTGCAGGAGGTGCATATTGAGGAACCTGAGGAGTTTGTATCCAAAATCTTTTTTGAGCCTTGTGTCTACCAGTGTCTTGAGAATTGTGGTGGTGCCCTGCTGACGATTGTTAGGAAGGGGGGTGACATTAACAGAACGGTGTATGTGGACTACAAAACCGAAGATGGCTCCGCCAATGCTGGCGCAGACTATGAGTTCACAGAGGGAACAGCTGTATTCAAGCCTGGTGAGATGCAGAAGGAGATTAGTGTAGGTATCATTGACGATGACATCTTTGAAGAGGATGAGCATTTTTTTGTGCGACTCAGCAACGTACGTGTGCTGGAGACGGAAGATATGCTGTCAGCCAACATGCTACATTTCCCCAAAGCCCTACTAGGATTCCCTGCCGTGGCTACAATCACAATCCTAGATGATGACCATGCTGGCATCTTCACTTTCGAGAGTGATTCTGTGCATGTGAGCGAGAGCGTGGGCATTATGGAGGTTAAGGTGCTAAGGACTTCTGGAGCTCGCGGCACTGTCATCGTGCCTTACCGAACAAATGAAGGGTTGGCCAAGGGGGGAGGAGTGGATTTTGATGACACCTATGGAGAACTGGAGTTTAAAAATGACGAGACTTGGTAAGTTGACTTTTTAATTTTATTGAGTATGGTTTATTAGTTTGAAACATTGCTTACCTATTCTACCTAAAAATGTAATTTTATTAGATTGTTTATTGTATTACACATATTGATTTTTATAATTCAGTAGTTTGCCGTAAATGCGCAATATATTTGTATTTCACAACAACGGTTTAAATGTGTTGTTTATGTCTGTTTTTGAAGTAATTTTAATCATTATTAATTATTCTAAGACATAGAATATATTTATTCTTTTTTAACAAACAAATGCTGTGTTCACACAGAGAACTAGACCAGTGTTGGGTTATTTGATTTCTCTCCTTTCTAGGATTTTTAATGTTCTGCTTTTCAATGTTCTCTAAGACAGTTTCACCAAAGTCAATTATTTGTGTGACAAGCATGGCACAGATATTGTTTTCAGTTAAAAATATTCATTTTGGTCCTTTTTTGGGAACTCTGATTGGACACTGACTGCGTGCTGTATCGCCTATATTTGTTCAATGTATTGCTTTCTGTCAGGAATTGATGAGTTTGCTGTCACAAACACTTTCTTCAGAACGAAATATTCAAAAATGAATTTTGTTACCGTGCTTATGCTTATAACTATACCACAGTAAATGAGATTTTTTTATTTTTAAATCTGCTTTGCACTCAGCGTTTGAATGTCTCTTTTCAAACATAGACATACTTCTGTGCAGTGACATTTGTTGTCCAGCGCTTCCAGTTCCAGGTGATACACTGTATAGCTTCTGAACCTGCAGTTGATTGAATTTAAGATATTTGTATATTAGCTTAATACGAAGGCAAGATGTTCCATTCAGCATAATAATGTGTGATTGCAGAAATTAGGCCATAAAACCAGTGATGGATTAAGTTGTCCAGTAATAGGCTTATCGATAGTCAACCCTCTAATTATTGGTGCCCATAAGCGCATGTTAATCGTACCCATGGTGGGTGTTTAAGCTGCATTTGTCCTATGAGAAGACCAGACAAAATGATCATTGTAATATAAACATGCAGATAAAATGGGAGATAGGGTGGCCTTACACTTCTTGGGTTGTGGGTTCAAATCCCACCTCAGCTGTGTATTTGTGGAGTTTGTATGTTCTCCTTGTGTTGAGTTGGTTTCCTGTCGCATTCCTAAGATGTGTGGTTAGACTGATTGGTGTCTCAGTGTAATGATTGTGATTGTGAGTGTGTGCATGTGACACTGGTACCCTGCAATGGGCTGGAATCCCAGTTAGAAGATGAATGGATAAAGATGAAATCCCCCTGATCCTCACCAGGATAAACATTTGGAAGATGGATGGATATTTTCACATCTTTTTCTGTTTTTTTTCTGTTAACAAGATAAATGTTTTTCTATTACACATTAGGGCAGCTGATAACAGAAAAAAATAACATAATTTGTCCATATTCAGCTTTCTTGGTACTTGATAAATGGAAAAATATAATTAAAAAATGATTCAATTGTAATATTTGAAGCCAAGTTAAAATTAATTCCTTCCTCTTTTATCATGATGGCTATTACTGCAGAAAAAATGATGATATTGAGGTTGAAAGAGTGTATATAGTGGCACACAGGAGATGTTCGAGTTACTCTCATCCAACCAAGTTAACATCAAATAATTTTATAACGTCAGCAGTTACGTTGTTATTGAACTGTGTGACATTTAAATATTCCCACTGCTAGCAGTATAAGGAAGAGCTACACTTCATAATCTCTAAGCTCAGGATCTTGTCAGTTACAGGTGCACGAGTGTTGAGTATACTTTGTTGCGTGATATACCCACAATGCCAGATCCTTTGATGTGCCACAGTCCTGCACCCCCACACAGATAGGCATACCCTTTCCCATACTTTCTGGATCAGTGTAGTCCCTAGTGCAGGCATTTTTGTGCTGGCAGTAAACCTTAAAGGGAGTTTAAGATTTATTTAAGTTACGCATGAACATTAATCAATATGTAATATAGTAGTTGCCAGAAGGCCGTTACAACCTTGCAGCTTTTCAATTAATAACAGTAGTTATGAGCTAAGTCCTGACAGTTTATTAATAGAGAATCTCTTACATGTAGTGAGAAGAAAAGAATAATATACTTGCTCAGGCTGGAATGATGTCAGACTTATTACTGTTACTTTAGCCAGTAATTCATTTTGTGAGCATGAGGAATAGTGTCGGCTCGCAATTACTGCACTTCTTACTTTTTCAGAATTAAATAGTTGAAGCTCAGTATTTCTTTGGATATTTTGGAGTTGCATTGTAATGTACCATCTAATTCGACTCATTCCATATTTGAGAAAACACTGATTTAATTTTTTTTTAACATTGAAATCCTTTCAGGGTGCGATCAGTAGGCTAAACAGGTAGATCCATAATGATTTGAATAATTTTCCTTATTAGGTATAGTAATTATTATAATTATACATAAAAATGTATAACAAATGACAATCCTATTTATGACAGATGTCAAATGGTGTTTATCTCTGCCAGTTTGTTCATGCGAACAGCAAATCCTGTGGGTCCGACGGGGTCTGATGTGGCATAGTGTCGAGCCCATTACCATTTACTTTATATATGCTTCCACATAAATTGTAAAAACTAGGCGAGCTGTCACAGATGTCAAGATTAAAGACTGTAGTAAGTGTGAGACTCTAGTTAGCCAGCATCTTCCTCCCTCATAACCCAAATAAAACAGAATTGCTACTTAGTCCTAGAGCACCTTGAGTTGTGCTTGATAAACCTGATGTATTTACTGTTAAACTAGTGAAAAATGTTGGTGTCACAGTAGACTCACACCTGCCTTTTGACATTCTGGTTTGAAATGATGCTCAAAGTGCTTTCTTCTGTCTGAGGACTATAGCCAGGCTTAGGAAGATGCAGTGCATCCATGATGCTGAAAAACTAATCCACGCCTTTATAATTTCCGGACAGGATTACTGTAAAGCTCTAATTTTCTGGGTGTACCTCTGGGTCCTTCACAGACTTCAGTTGGTGCCGAATGGAGCAGACTCAGTTCTGATAAGAACCATTAAGTTTGATCATATTAGTTCTGTTTTGTCATTGTTACATTGACTTCCTTACATTTTATATTGATTTTAAGCTTCTGTTACAAAGTTGTAAAGGCTTGAATGGCCTTTCCCTAGAGTGCTTGGCATTTTATTTTATTTTTAATATTTCCATACCATCTTGCTTGTTTCTCTCTCACAGGGAAGGTTATCTGTTAGTTCCCAGAGCGGAAAGGGCTGTATTGGGTTCTGTAGCTGTGAAATAGCCTTTGGGCTTGCACTCAAGCTTTATGTCTAGGCTAAAAACTCACTTTAGTTTAGTGTATCTATATGTATTTACTTACAATGAGCAGGCATTATAGTTTAAGGTACAGAGGTGGGTTGGGATCAGTGTTGCTCACTTGGTTGGATCAACTGGATGAGCTGTACAGTCAGTGCTGTCGCGCTTGTTTTGCATATAGCTGTGTGTCGTTGGAACGCCGACGTTCCGGGATTCCTCATGCTTCTGCTCCCACCTGCCTCTCCATCCTTGTCGTGTTGCCATACTCAGTCTTGCCGGAGCTTCTTCACTGTACTCGCTCTGCTGCCTCGTATTGTCCATTTTATGTTCTTATCTGCTTCCTCCTTCAGTGTCAGCCACCAGGGCAGGGGTGGGAAATCATATCCGCAAAGGGCCCGGTGTGTGTGCAGGTTTTTGGGATAACCTGTAGGTCAGCTGTTCAAACCCAGGTGTGAGGACTCTTCAGCCTGTCAGTCCTCTAATTAGTAATCGAACTAGGGAGCTCCATTGAAAACCCGCATACACACTGGCCCTTTGCGGATAAGATTGACCACCCCTGCACTAGGGGATCCAGGAAGCCCCCTGCCTGCCCCCATTAACCTCACACAGCCAGAGATCAGGCTTCCCCCTTAAGCCTGGCTTCCCCCGTAAGCCTGGCTTCCCCCAAGGCTTCTTTCTCCTTCCGAGAGTGTTTTCCTTGCCACTGTCGCCTCAGGCTTACTCGAGCCTGGATTTGTGACAATGCTCCTTATTGAAAGCTCTATATAAGATGAATTAAAATATGTGCAATTTGCATATTTGCCTATACAGGAAGGACAAAATGCATCCTTTTTTCCATAACTGTGTATCCAGAACGGGGTTGCAGTTAGCCTAGTCCAGCCTATCACAGGGCATCCTCACATTTCACATGATTCTAGATCTTATTCAGTATTCAGCACTCCTTCCTCACTTTCTCTTTAGGACTTGAAGTGTTTTGGTCTTGGTTTTCAATAATCTGTTTGGCATTTCTCATTCATAAGGTGTTCTAAGCTTATATGAAACATGTTCTTCGACTTCTTTAACCCCCCTGTCTCATGATAGATGATACTTTCAGCCTGGTGTCCCCCCTCTTGTTGTTTACGGTCTTAAGCCTGCCATCTTGCATTTCCAGGTAGCATAGCAAGACAGCATGGTGGCAAAGGGTTAGATTAAGAACGAGAAGCTGACCACGTAGCTACATTTCCTGACAAAATACTTTGGATTCATGTCTTCTATTGTGTGAACATTTATGTATCAGGTTTTATTCTGGGTCACATTTGGTAATACCCATATTTTTCATGCTGCATGACAAATCTGAATAACTTTCTGGATGGTTTTTGTCCAAAGCCATCAAATCATTCTTTTATTGATAATATTCTCTTTTTGCAGTCAGTCATTTATGTATTAAATGAGTATAATTATGATTAAATGAGTGTCACTCCTGAGGATCTGGCTGTATCAGAAGCCTTGTAAAATTAAATGACATTCTGCTTTACTCTTCCTCTGTTAATGAGGTATTGTCATCCTGTGTCTTCTAATGCTTGGGGATCATTTTAACCAAACATAAAGGACAATCTGGAGTATACTGGAATATAATACATCATACTGGGCTATTCAGTTTCAGTTCAGTTTCACATTAATGCTGCCTACTGAGCCACCACATGCCAAGCATTTCTTTTACAGTGATGTTTTGATA